GTAGTAGGCTTTCGAGCCTATACAGCTTGGAGTAAGACAACATGCATGAAGAGGATGATGTGGACAAAATACTCATTTGCCTAATAATTCTGCACTCCCTTTATATAATGCAGCTTTCTGGGGTGCAGAGAGACAAAACCCTGCAGCACTCATTTCTTCTCACCTGTACTTAACCTTGTACATCTACCAAGATGGTGGAAGTAAGTAATATGACTATTTTCTCTTTGTGTTGCATGACCAATAAGGACAGTCTTAAACCATAATTCTAACACGGATTCAACCGAATCAGACGTTTGATTTTAGTTTTATTGAGATTTTGATGAGCTTTGATAGTCAAAATATTCACATTATTGGGCATTATTGAATATGGGTCATACAATGCATTGTTGTTGAGTAATACTACTGACCTTTTATTAGGGCCAATTATTACTGCAGTCTCAGATAGAAAACAACACTGGCCAGTGCTGCATCACCAAATGTTTCTTTGTTTTCTTCACAGTGGATGACAATAAAGAACATGACTTTCAAGGTTGGACAAACCCTGTCTCTTGTTGGCGTGATCAAACCAGATCCCAAAGAGTAAGTACTGATTAAAGATAAACTGTATTATGATGTTACACATCATTCTATGATAGTAAAGTTGGGAAATACAATCAAATATTTTAATGCATAAAAGATAACAGTTACTGTGTTTTCAACTTCTATTCCCAAAATTCTTTCACGTATCTCTCATATATTTTTTATTCTGTCCAGCTGGCACAAAAATTATAACTTTATCCTAAGGTCATGAGATAAATGTGTACATTTGATTTTGGTGTGAACTATCCTTAAGACAGCTGAAGCGTAAAATAGAGCTATGAAACATTTCATTTTTGTGTTTAATCCAATATGAGAATTTCATTAGCGGTTCATTTAAGTTACATGATGTTTTAAACTTCCTGTGCTTATTTCTGTTTTAAAATTGCCCTAAGAATTTGATTATGGGGTGAATGGTCCTTTAAATTTATTGTAGCAAAAATATTTGCAAATGTGTGTCAAAAATGCTATATCTGTATTTCAGTTTATTTCAGCCCTATGTCCTTCCTACGCATGCTAAAAGGAATATAAGATGTAATAAATATTTGTGTGTCTGTACATTGCAGATTCACGCTGGATATTGGCCCCAGCGTGGACAGAATTGCATTTCATTTCAACCCTCGCTTTAATGCAAAGGGACAGATAAATAAAATTGTCTGCAATTCTTTGGAGGCAGGCAATTGGTGTAAGGAGCAACATGAGGATTGCTTTCCTTTCTGTGAGGGAAAGGAGTTTCAGGTATGAGAGTGTGTGTCTGTATTTTCACCTTTTATACATATATATATGTATACGTATACATGTATGTGTGTGTGTGTGTGTGTGTGTGTGTGTGTATTACAATCAATCTATAATTTGTCTCTCTGTTTCTTTTCACTCAAAATGTCTTTTTTAGATCGCCATTAAATTCACACCTTCAGAGTTTGTGGTGACTTTACCAAATGGCTCAACATTCTGTTTTCCCAACCGCATGGGTGCAAGGAAGTACTCTGTCATTGGCTTTGGTCAAGATGCTGAAATTAGAAGCATTGAGATCAAGTAAATCTACATCATCAATTCACATTGCTTGTTTTATTTTTCTGCTTGTCTATCAGTAGGTAATCTCCCCAAAGGTGGATGGTGACCGTGCCAACCTTGAATCTCATCACTAATTTCATTTTTTATCTTAAAGGAATTTAGTTTGTTGAGAGCCTGATCCAAACAGCTTTGGATGTGAAGATGGGATGTAAGATAAATATTTTCTTTGGTCCTTGACACAGATAACTGAAGTTTTAAAGTAGCCAAAGTGATTTTTCTGTTTGGAATTAGCAGTTTGCTTGCAAAAATCAAATAAAGTGTGATCAAGGTTTTCTGTAAGGTGTCTGAAAGTACTAAAGCATTTGTTTGAATTCCCAAGACATTCCACTTGTTCTTTCTTTATTGCAGCAACATTATTTAAAACACATTCTTTTATGAAAAAACATGACTCTGGTGACTCCTTATTCTTGTTACACTAACATGGAATGTTTTATGATGCCTTTGGGCGTCCCCTGTGAAATTACTTCATAGGTGAAACTGTCACTGCTGTGGTCTGTAATTTAATTCTTATTATGGGTCATATTTCATAACATGAGGGTCCGCTTTGACTCACAGTAACTGTATGTACCAAGGTTTGTACTACAGATCAAATTACAATATATATCTATTCTACTTGATATTATTAAATGAATAATTAATCCTAAATTGTATGTATGTCTAACGAGAGCAAAACTCTGTAGGTAGCTCCAAGTTCAACTAAAAATCTCAAAAAATGGAGCAAATAGTGTGAGAGTGCAATCCCCAACTTTTGCTGGTATCTATGGTCAGTTTTATAGATTAATAGCAAAAGTTGCACTATATTTTCAAACACAGATAGTCAGGCAGACAGAGTCATCACAATATAAACAGCCTTCAGTAATTGACAGGCTCCAAAACTGGAAACTGTGTGACCATATTTTGGCATTGCAATGTTTTATGTTCTATGTATTCTTATATGAAGACCATTTAAATCCCTTCTAGAGATAAACTGATCTGGAAATGCCAGAGTTATTTTCACTGAGAGTAAGGGGCTGAGCTCAACTCATGAAAAGTAACCCCACACCATAATCCCTCCTGGCACGATGCAGTCAGACAAGTAGCATTCTCTGCAAACACTGGGTTTTCCTCGGCATGAAAGATAGAAACTTCACAGTTCAAATAGGAAGTTGTAATAATAACTACTAATTAAATGCATATGTAAGCAGATAAATGAGTGAAAAAGGTGAGTAAAAAAAGAAACACTCAGGGAAGCCCCCAGCAGCATTGGTCTTTTGCAGCATAATTAAGGGAGGATTCAGGTTCAGACATAGTAAAATGATATAATACAAATAGAAATGCACAATGTATTGCCAACTGCTGCACCTGTAGGAAAAACAAACATAAAACATCTGGAACGGCAAAAGTTGAAAATGCACAGGTACATAAATCAACATTTTTTTTGTGCCGTGTGTGGGTGAGTTTTTGTTTTGTTCTCTTTGTGTGTGTTTGTTTTACTTTTTACTTTGTACAACACTTTGGTCAACCTGTGTTGTTTTTAAATATGTGTATAAATAAATGAAATGATTGACTGAGTGATTGATTGATTAATCTACGTAGCCAATTAAATTAACAACTTATATATAACTGCTTATTTCATAGTGTAATCTTCACATCTTCACTTTATCCAAAGCACATTCTTTGTTGATTCTCCCGCTAATTATATTCACAGTATTTCCTCACCTCACTGTGTCTTTGGGGATTTGCTAGGTTAGCTTAGTTTGTAGCTGACTCACTAGTAGCATGGCCTCTTTATTTGTTCCTCCTGCACTTTCCTGCTCAGTGTGTTACTCCTCGACTTCCTTTAGCAGTATTGATACTTATAATAAATGTAGAGATTGGCAGCTCTGGATGCCAGGATTACTGAACTGGAGACTTGGCTTCGCACCCTTAAAAACCTCGTAGCTAGCTAGGCCCCTGTAGCTGGTGCAGCTAAAGGTACTGTAGGGCCCATTAGCTCTCCCCCGGCAGATTGTCCCAAACAGCCGGGAACACAGGGTGGCTGGATGATGATGAGGAGGAAATATACTTAAACAGAAGCCCCAGTACACTACCAAACTGTTCATGTGACTGACCATTTTTCCCCACCGGCTAACGGTAAATGCAAAATTGAATAAAATTATAATTCACATTGGCAGTAAGGACAACCAGTAACATAAATCTAAAATTAATATTGAATTGGTGTGCAACTTTGCCAAAAAATGCTAGAATCTGTAGTTTTCTCTTGTCCACTCCCCAGTTGGACCAGGAGTGACATCCTTAGCTGCACGTTCTTTTGAATTTGCTGTCTGTCTGAGTGGTGTCCAAAAAACGATGTGGGCTTTATAGATTATTGGAAAACTTTCTGGGGGAAACCTAGTCTTGTTAGGAGAGACAGCATCCATTTCACTTTGAAGGGAGCAGCTCTCATTTCCAAAAATCTGGCCAAATTTATTAAACCCATCCAAACATAACTACATAACTGTCCAGATTTGGGACCAGGAAGCAGAGTTGCAGTCTTAAACACCTCTCTATAGCTTCTCTCCTTCTGCTACCCCCCAAAACCCCATCTCCTTAGAGTCTGTGTCTGCTCCCAAACAAACAAAAATAATCTAAAAATCTGCAAAAAATGACGTAAAAAACATACAATCACAAAGAAAAAAGAATACTGTATCCACATCTGCACCGAAGAGTAAAAGAGTCAAATTTGATTTAGTAAACATTAGGTCTATCTCTTCCAAGTCCTTGTTAGTGCACAAATTAATAATTAATCAACAAATTGATTTACTCTGCCTTACAGAAACCTGGTTGCAGCAGGAAGATTATGTTAGTTTAAATGAATCAACACCCCGAGTCATTCTAACTACCAGAATCCTCGAAGCACAGAATCCTGAGGTGCCGATTCAACCATTCATTCAGCCATTCAGTACATTTTCAGTAATTTCTTTTTCAAAAACGCACATGTACTTACATTTATTTACATTTACTTGAGTAGGGTAAGGGGTTGCCACCTCAGCATGCAGTCAAGTTCAATAGAGTCTTGTTAATAACCTAATAATTTTATTCAGGTGTGTTGCATCAGCGACACATTCAAAAGTTTCAGGGCACGGGCCCTCGAGGGATGGAGTTTGACATTTGATGGTCTAAGCCACAGCTGTCGAACTCCAGGCCTCGAGGGCCGGTGTCCTGCAGGTTTTGGATGTGTCCTTGATCCAACACAACTGATTTAAATGGCTAAAATACCTCCTCAGCATGTCTCAAAGTTCTCCAGAAGCCTGGTAATGAACTAATCATTTGATTCAGGTATGTTGACCCAGGGTGATATCTAAAACCTGCAGGACACCGGCTCTCGAGGCCTGGAGTTCGACACCTCTGGTCTAAGCCATCAAATGACAATTTTAAATCAGCTCTAAAGATCTTCCTGTCTGCATGGACATACATAGGCATGTCAGTTATCTGCTAGATAGAAACAAATGCTGTGTTGGATTCTTTCCCCTTTAGTTTGATACTATAGGCAGGATATAATAAGGAGCTTGTATCATTTGGACTATTTTGGATATGGGGAAAATGTAATTGGGGAAGCAGTGCAGATATGGTAAATGAGATGACATATGCACAAACATTATCTGTTAGACATTAAGATAAACACATGTTAACATTTCCTTGTGTCATTTCTGTCACACCTTCTCTCTTTCCCTGTATCAGAGCTGAGCAAAGGCTGCATTGAATTCTTTCCTCTTTAGATTGATAAATTAGGCAGGCTATAATAAGCACCTTGCATCACTTTTTTGGATACGGGGAGAATTTGCTTGGAAAGGAATGGTAGATGAGAAGACATATGCACAAACATTATCTGTTAGACAGCAAGATAAACATGCTAACATTTTCCCTGTTTCATTTCTGTTATGAGTTCTTGCTTTCCCGGTATAATAGCTGAACAAAGGCTGCATTGCAATCTTCCTCTTTGGATTAAAACTAAACAGAACACAGCAAATACTTTGTATTAACTGGGCTTTTTTCCCCGAACCCCAAATAATTGTAACCATTTTTGGAAAGGGTTACAATTATTTAAATCACATTAAAGGTTGAAATTAAATTAAGTAATAATGTAGAAGCCAGAACTCCAATTCTATGTGAAACAGGGGTAAGCTGCAGTGTAAACGTTTAGTAGTAGTGTAGTATTCCTCAAAGCACCTCACTGTTACAGTCCACTTTGTGTTGATTTCATGCAAAAATTACAGTTATTTTGTGAGTCATTAAAATAGTAAATTCATGATTATTAATTAAATGTCTGACTTTACATTACATCCAGAATTCATAAACTTGCCAGTGACAGATTTGCTTGAGTGTCATGAAGTGAATATGGTTGTGACATGTCATTTACGATTAATAAAAAGCATATTTAGCTCTTTTATTTTTCTCACAATAGTTTTTCTTAGCATTCAGCCAGTCTTCACCAACAGGGGCAGTATTTGTTAACTACTAACATTTTTATGGTCTATATTCCATATACAAGTCAGCTGGTAGGAGTTTAGCATGCTAAATATAATATAATATTTTGAGCCTGACATGAAAATAAAGCTGTCAAATGTATGATCTAGTTGTGGTTTTTGCTTACTTGTTTTATATGTAAAAGAATGATTAAAAACCAAGTTTTCATGCTGCAAAACAGTAAATTGAGTGTAAAGGTAACACTACAGGAAGAGTTTTAGTAACACTACTTGGTGTAAAATTAATTTAAAATTTTATTCTATGAGAGCTAATTTTTCACTAGAGATCAGTGTATGAATAACACAGTATGGAGTAACATCAACTCTCATCAGTTATTTGAACCCCCAGTGTTCATTTCAAATAAGTCAGTTCAGTGTTAAAAATCAGTGGGATTTTCCTCAAATACAGTTCATTTATCACTATGATAGAGTAAATAATACGACACTACTAGTAGTGTTAAGTTGTTTTAACACTATGCAGTGTTACTCAGTGCTAAATTTTCACTCTATTTAGAGTTAATTTTACTCTAAAATTTTAACACTATAGAAAGAGTTGATTTAAC